AAATGGAGGACTGCTGAGGTTTTTGAGTGTGTTTGAGGATGTTCAGATTATTAAGATGAGACAAAAATGTAAATTCAGATTGCGGCAGCAGCGCTTGGTGCATTCGCGTCAGCAACGGTTCGACGACCACCAACTCGAACCGTCGAGAGCGTGATGGCATCCTCACAAGATCCGGGTGCCACCACCGGAGGACAAGACTCGACTGATGAGGAGTCGTTGGAGTTGAATTATTCTGAGGAAGATCATGACGACAACGGCGATTCCCTACTCGGCCTGGCTTGTTCGGCTGGGGTATGTTTTGCAGATTGTGATTTTGATTTCGTCGTTTCATCACTACCTAGAATCCGTTTAAGTCGTATTTAGCCAAAATTTTTTGATTTATATTCGAATGAGAACAAACGTAAACGGATAGTCACTACCAACAAGTCGGCTGATTCACTATGCCTTCAAAACTTTCATTCTTTGCCAACTTTTTTTGGACAATTTCGTTTGCATTTTTCAGTATACTGATCTGGCGAAGCAGTTAGTCGATATACGGGGCAACGCCAATTATACCGGAGGGAAAAACGACTGTACGCCGCTGATGGAGGCATGTAGCGCTGGTGAGAATCATTTTGATTGATTGTTTGATTTATTGAAGTGAATTCAGTTTTGATTTTGAATTGCGATGTGCATGTGGATAATGTTTGATGTGTGCATTCTTAATCGATGAATAGATTGAAATAAACCGTCAAAAATTTGAGGCCATATCGAAATTGTGAAATATCTGCTGGAGAATGGCGCCGACGTGAATGCCTTCAGTGCCACTCAAAATACGGCACTGATCTATGCGGCTGCAGCCGGTCATGTTGAAGTTGGTGCTTTTTGACTTGCTTTCTTTTCCTTTTTGTTTCAAGTTTTGATGTGGGGGAATTGTGATGGAAGGAATTACGTCTTGATGATTGCTCATTGTTTGATTGCATTTGGTAAAAGTCGACCGAGATGACTATTGTAATCGTGAATTCTTAAACGGAACTCGTTTTCGTAAGAAACGATTTTGCAACTCTTTTTTTATAAAATTTCGTTGAATCTTCATTTTGTTTTTTGATTGCTGAAGATCGATCGTACAATTGCATTTGTTTTGCAGTGTGTTAATATTCTGCTGGAATATTCGTGCAACGTTGATGCGCGAAATGAGAATGGTCACTGTGCGCTGATGGAGGCTGCTAGCTCTGGTTATTATTTTCTCGTTGTTTTCTTTTGAAGAAAAATTTTCGTGCAGTCCAGAAACATTTCCGGAAACAAATGTTGAATTATCAAAAATAATTTGTGACATTTCAAATTCGTTCAGTTTGAGTGATGATACTGTTCGTTCTAAGGAGTCTTCATAACAGTTGTTGTGTTGTTTTTTTGATTCGTGACTATTTTGAAGTTGTTTTGATCGATGTTTATTTGTTTTTCTTTTCTGTTTCTCTTTTTTTTTTGATTCCTTTTGCTGTGAACATTTCGAAAAGAATATTTTTATATGTGTACTCTCGGTCCAAAGGCATGATCGCTACAGCAATGAATTCTTGCAAATGAGTGTGGTTTAGTTCGAAAGACTCTTATGAAAGAATTATTTAATCATGTGTCTATTGTTTAAGGGTGTTTGAATGTGGTAAAAGCGTTGGTGAATGCTGGAGCTTCATCTGTATCGATGAGTTCACAATGTGAATTTAAAGTTGGTTTGGTAAGTGCTTGTTTTATTCGGTTGATATTTTATAATTTCTTGTTGGACATTCTAATGGGGGAGGTACGATTAATGAAACAGATATAGGGAAGATGATGTGATGAAATGAAGAAATTGCATAATATTTTGAGGATTCGCACGATATTTGAGCAAGATTTTAGAGAGCATTCGTTGTCAGTTTGTCAATTTATTATATGTTATTATTGTTGATTGGGAGTATGGCAGTGAAGAGAAATGAAATAAATTCAGGAGTCACCTCTGACATTAGCTGCCTACAAAGGTCATCTGGAAATAGTGAAGTATTTGCTGGAGAAAGGTGGTGATAAGGAACGTCAAGAGGAGTTGCATACAGCGTTGATGGAAGCCTCAATGGATGGACATTACGAGGTGGCACGTCTTCTGCTCGATCATGGCGCACCTGTGAATCTGACTTCGGATTCGTTCGAAAGTCCGCTTACACTGGCTGCTTGTGGAGGACATGCGAAGTTGGTTGAACTGTTGTTGGATCGTGGTGCTGAGATGGAGGAGCCGAACGACGAGGGATACACACCGTTGATGGAGGCGAGTCGTGAGGGACATCTGGACGTGGTGAGGATATTGCTGAATCGTGGTGCACAAACGAACACACAAACTGATGAAACTGGTGAGACGGCGTTGACGCTGGCCGCGTGTGGTGGCTTCAAGGATGTTGTCGAGCAGTTGACGCGTTGTGGTGCAGATCTGGATTTGGGTGCTAACACACCGCTAATGGAGGCTGCACAAGAGGGGCATCTGGAGACAGTGCAATTCCTGCTGGCCGAAAATGCGAAACGAAACGGCCTGCCGGTGGACGCAACGACCGCAACGAACGAGACAGCGCTAACTTATGCGGCCGAAAACGGTCATATGGACGTGTGTGCGGCGTTGATCGAAGCCGGCGCGAACGTGGATCACGAAACCGAAGGTGGTCGTACGGCACTGATGAAAGCCGCCAAAAACGGCAACTACGGAGTGGTACAGTTCTTGATTATGCGAGGCGCACAAGTCAACAAAGTGTCGTCGAACAACGACGCCACAGCGTTGTCATCGGCGTGTGCGAACGGACATTGGGAGATAGTGCGGTTGTTGTTGGATCACGGTGGGGATCCGTCGCATGTGATGAAAGACGGCATGACGTGTATGATCGAAGCGTCCCGCAACGGACACACACGTGTTGTGGAGACACTACTGAACTGGCACGACGTACCGGTGAGTGGCAAGTCGAGTGCAAACTCAGCGAAATCCTCAGCGTCCTCGTCAATGCAAAACAGCCGACTGAAAAAAGTGAGCACGCAACGTCGTGTTGGTGCATCGAAGAAAGCAACCGCAGCAACTCAACCGAAAGTGGAGTGTGCCGAAAAGTCAGTGAATAACAGTGGGTCGGGCGCAACAACTGGCAATAGTACAACTTTACCAACAGCCACAGCAACATTGCCGAATCAAAATCACCAATCCACTGATATGACAATGACTGGAAATATTGCGTCTGGAGGTGTTACTTCGGGTGGTAGTACTCCAGCGATTATCAGTAATAATCTTGGTGAGATTTTGTTGTTGTTGTTGCTTTTTTTCTGAATAGAATAGTTGGTGATTATTTCATTCAAACAATGGAAAACCGGTCGATCAAACTCATATATTTGATCCATTCAGAAAACCGCCTTTGAAATTTATTTTATGGTTTAGTTCATTGAGCATTTAAATAGTTTATTTTCTAATTTGAAACTTTAACTGAACGTGAATTTTTCAAAAAAGCAAGAAATGATTTGTAACATATCTTTCAGCGAATTACTACCAGCAAAGCGCAGCAATTAACCCGGATGAATTACGTGGCATGATAGCTGGTATGGCTGCAATGGCTGCGCAGTCCAATTCGGTAATTAATCTTTTCATTGCCATCTTCTGAAAAACTATCGCATAACTCTGTAAGATAATTCATAAATGATGATTTAATGAATCCAGTTGAAAGCGATAATCCAGTTGATAAACAGTGCTGAAACAATGATTAGCATAAGCATAGATATTGATTGCAGCAACCAAACGATCGCCTGTTCGCTCAAATAGCCGAAAAAGCGCTTCGTGGAACGATGGGTGCTTTTGCAAGCCAAGATCTAATGGGCAGTCTCTCAGACAACAAGGTACATCAACAGTTCAGTGAAATGCTCAAGCAACAGTTCAGTATTCTGGCAGGACGCCAGAAGGGCGCGCTTAGTGCTACTCTACCAAGCAATACAGATATGCAGCAACCGGATTCTGATCAAGGTCTCGTATTCATTGATTAAATCATTCGATCTTCTTTTCACTTCCTTTCTGCCAACTTTGGGTATTTGCTTAACTTGTTTTGCATTCGATGCGATGGAGATTTCAACTGCTTAGAAATAGATAATCGGACGTTTTCAATCGTAAGCGATGGAATTTAGAGAACGTTTGTAAGGTGATTTAACGTCGAGCTGAATATGATCAGCACATTAGGTTGAATCAGGTTGAGGTTGAACTTTAAGGTGGGAATTCATCGTGTAGTGCATCGATCACATCGTCGCCTTCTCCACCGATGGTTGCTTGCTGTGAGACAACTGCAGCACATGCAGCTGCTCAACAGCAACAGTCATTTCCGGGCAGTACACCGGTTCTGCCGAATGCGAAACGCAAGAACAGTGGAACAAGTGTATGTTTGTTCTCTTTTTTTAAATCTCTTAAATAACTTATCATTATAACGCAGCGGATATGAAGCATTGAGGCAGCCACCAAGCACCGTGATATAAGCTGTGAACACTGCTGTGAATCGAAAACTTCAAAGTGGGATCGAGTAAATTAGTGCAGTTCTGTAAGCCAGAAGGCAACTTTGGTTTGCGAACAATTGAGATGGCGTTCCTTCAAGTTTGCGCACGCATCGGGAACAGTTGTTGAAATGTGGCTAGGATTGGAACCGAACATGCACTCTTTTGCGAACACGTTTAGATAATTGTTGGTTGAATATGCGAGCAACACCCGCGAATCTTAAGCTGTGACTGTCGGCCTGAGTTGTTGATTTGTTGATGGTTAGATGAATAATGTTGATGGTTGTTGTTAAAGGATGCATCAAAGACTAGTAGTAATATGACGTCGTCAGCAACAGCGACAACACGAGGCGTGGTACAAGCAAAGAAAATAGTTACCGCCAAAGGAACCACAACGACGATCATCGATGAGTGCGGAGGGCTGGACGGTATCGCAGCACAGGTGAATGTCAACTCGTCACCATCACCTCTGCCCAGTGCCAACAATACAAACGTCAAATTTCCGGCACCTCCACCGCCGGTTATGAACGCTAATGTTTCAAGAGGTTTGCACACTTCTATTCTTCTTGACTCGAACGCGTCACTCGTAACTCAGAATTCACTTTGTAATTTGAAATATTTCAGTTAATTTCAGTCGTGCTCGCTAACAGGAGCACTTTCTAGGTAGTATCCTTATCTCAAAAAAAAAAAGATCATCCTTATGGATTTTTTATTAGTTGAAGACATCATGAAGACATTCACGTATTGTGACTATATTTTAAGAATATGAATTTTGCAAGAGTTTATAGGAGAAAAATTGAGGATTTGAAGGGCAGAAAAAAAGTTTGGGAAATGAGCTGTTAAGAAAACGTAATTCTTGTCTAATTGGACGCTTTCTTTCCCCGCTTTCTCCCTTCCCTCTCAAATTAAGTTCGTTATTTTTAGTCGTCTAATTTAGGTAAGTAAAGTGATTCTTAGATTCGGATTCGTGTTGCTTGAATTGAAGGCGAGAAATGTTCGTTTCAGAGGCGTTTGGATTACCGTCACCGATGGCTTTGAAACAAACGTTGACGAGAACAGCGGAATTGATTCGAAGCAAGATCGCTCCAGCAACAACAACAAACACCACTGCACCTGTTCCCGTTGAACAACCACCACCAGTCATTGACGAGAACTACGCACCAATCAAAACACCGAGCACGTACGTTCATTTACTATATTATATAAAATGTTTGATTTGTTAGTTTCATTTTTTAAAATGGTATTATTCAAGTGAGTTTCACTTGAGGATAGTTGAGAGTATTTGATGGAAATTGCGCGTTTGGTTATTGATTGTGGTTGAGATTGTTAGTGAGCTGAGTGATGAATCATTTGATGGTGGCTGAAGTTGATATCGTGAAAAAACGTGTCCTTCTTTTCATCTAACGATAAATATTTATTCCTCAATTCCGTTTTTTTTTGTTTCATTTGTTTTGTTGTGATTTATTTTGGTTTACAGTCAAGTGGATTTCAGTCGCAGTCGTCGCACACTGAGCGAGAGTGCTGCACAGGATAGCACGGATCTGCACGATTTTCCGTCGATGGAAGCTATATCGGACGGAAGTTATATCGATGATGAATCTCTCAGTGAAGAACGTCCTCTGAGACGCACTGATCTACCAAATATGGGTAAGTTTGTTCGCGTTGTGCAGCTG